GTGCAGTGTAGGAAGCACAAAGGGTTGGCAAGTACTCTCCCTGCTGAAGAAGGCGCTGCTCCAAGATCTGCTCACTTGTAGCATTCTCAGACACCTTTGCCCTCTTACCGGGGGGCAGCAGGCCTCTGTCCCCATAAACTTGAAGTTGCTCGGGCTGAAGAAGCAACTCCGACTGCCTTGACCGAGGAATCGTGAACATGTGGCGTGAATCATCCCACGGTAGTCTTCGAGCTGCAGCACACAGGAATCGTTCGTCAATCTTGGCGCTGTCAATATCTTGCCGAGCCCATACTGCAAGCCAGCGGGTACGACAGTTGCCTGTCAATTGATGGATAGCCACGTCCTGGGACCAGATTTTTCTGTATCCTGCCAACCGAAGCGCCGCAGAAATCGCTCGCCAATGCTGGTGGGATTCAATTCCATCTGAACATTCAAAGAGAGCCATGATGGGTCGAACCCTTGCAACATGCAAGATGGCATCAATAAAGCAAAACCCTTCATCAGTGGCAAGCCCAGAGCTCTTCCCGCCTCGACTCCAGCTTGGGCACGGAGGTGAAAGCGTCATCAAAAGATTTGACTTGCGCGCTGTGGCTCGTAGCAAACTGATATCACCTATGTCAGCTTGAATCCCAATGAAGGCCTCCATGGGATTGAAGTCAACTGGAATAGGAACCTGAGCAGCTGGTCGCCCATGATTGAAACTCCAAGTACGCATAACATCCGGACACCAATCTACTGATGTATGGGTGGCAAACGAATAGCCAAAATTACCTTGCTGGAGCCACCACATTGCTCGCAACCATCCTTCATATGCACCGGCAAAAAGGTGTGCGACATTCCACGCCAGATCACCATTGTGTTGCGACAGGTTCCAGAGAGGGACCGAACTGTCAGCATAGATCCTCCCAACCACTGATCGCTGAGTTGGTCTCACAAAGATTCCGATCCACATACCCGGAGTAAGGTCCACACGGCTGTGGTTGACAGGGCAAACAATGTCAAACCGAGCCCAAACATCATCCAACCTGTCATCATTCATCAGCATGGAGGTTTGACGGACCTGGACATGCAGAGGATCTCTGGCAACCACATCAGTCACTTCTCCAAAAAGAACCCAGTCCTCATTCCCACCAGTACATTCACCTGTCATGGCAATGGCCTGTAGAGCTGAGCGCGCGGAATGGCCCAGCGAGGACGGCATGCCAGAAGTAGCCCACTGGATAAAGCTGTCCTGAGCATGCAGTCCATCTCCGCTCTTCGTCTCCATGGTCACCATTGCGATCCTAAGGCGGGTGTGCCTAATTAAGGTCTGTGGACGTGGTACCCCTGCACCAGGTGCAGGTAGCACCACCCCGGCCCTCGCGGGGGGGCGTAAGGTGAATAGCCTTTGAGCCGAGACACCTGGGGGGAGCTTCCTTGAAGAAGCGCTCGCACTATTCATTTGGTTCCTAGATTAATTTCAAAAAAAGCAGCACTGTGATTCAAGTTCCGACATGTTTCAACTACAGTAGATCTGCTTGAGTACAGTCCTTGAAAACAAGGAGCATCTCCCAAATGGCTCTCAGCGGAGCTTGTGGATGAAATTTCAGTAGTGTGACATCACGAGAGCTTCCGTGCAGCTCTCGTGAACACACATTGACTGGGCCAAGCAATACCAAACAACCCAAAAGCCGAAAGTGAAGCTGATACAATGTCCACCACCCGCCTCTTGGTCACATACCCAACCTAAGTCTGCAAGTCCTGTGGTTTCTATTGGTTTCTTATGTTGGCGGTAAACCAGGAACCCCCCGCACGCAGCAACTCACCTCGGAATAGCGACGGCCAAAGTGTTGGCCGAATGTAAGCCTTCAGGTGTCGGAAGGCGCACGTTGACACATCCACGAAAACAGAAAAGAAGTTCAAAAATGCCGCACCATCGACAAGTAGTACCAAGAAGCACTGGAAGCTTTCTGTCATGAGTCATGCCTATATCACGCCGCCGGCATGTTGTAGTTGTCAGACTGTGTGGGCGTTGGTCATTTCACCTTTGCCGTCTACCCTCAAACAGCAGTGCAGTCCTCTGCCGGCCGCTGCTGCGTTGACCTGTTTCGCTAAGGCAGGTGATGAGCAAATGGCAACCGATCGAAATGCGTGAGCATGTGGAACTTGGCTTAGTGAAGTTTCCCTAAAAATCTAGGAGCCAAATCATTAGTGCGAGCGCTACCCTGCGTCCAGTTACTAGAAGCTGAAGTAGCTAGGAGCTTACTCCCATTGCTTAATTATATAAGTAGGCGCCTGCTTTATTGAGTAGGGGCGGGCTAAAGAAAGAGTCTCCCATGGTTCCACTCACCCATGTCTCCAACCCATCCGGCACACCCGCGGGCTCCGCCAATCTTCACAAACACTGAAACCCTGAGTTTGAACTAATGCGCGTCTTCCCGTGTAGGCCTCAAGCTCTGCCAGAGCTGCCAAGATCTTCTGGCATTCCTCCTACGTGCTTGCGCGCAAAGACAAAGCTGGTCCCAAACTCCCAAACAGTCAAAACCACGTCATGGGGGATTTGGGATACGCGCGTGGCGCTCGTGCGATCTAAACAGGGGATGGCTTTTTCGGGGCCCACACGTCTCCTCAGAATGATTCAAGAACATCTCGGGGTGAAGCTGCGCAAAGGAGCTGACCCAATGACACTCAAGGAGATATCAGAGGCTTTAAAACGTTTTGGGGCAGTCTTGGGCGCGTGGTACAGTAGAACAACACCAGACCCCTATGGGCGCAGTTCGTGTGATTGTTCTGTCTAGATGTCTAGATGTCGCCTCTTCAACGGTTCAAGACGATGCTACGGTGACCAAATGCTGTCCACGATGCCACAAAAACTGCTTTGACCGTGTCCGGTTTACCTGTTTCAGTTCCTGATAGGGTCAGAACGCGCATTTCGGCGATTCCTCATCTACACTAAGGGTTTTGGAGGATGCGCTATATATAGGTATGATCTTCATGGTAATCCTAGCTGGAGATGAAGAGTGGGCAATGTTCCAACTCCTTCGATATCTTTCCATCATCCGTTGGGCCGCCGCTTTGCCCCACTCCAATGGCTTACAGACCAACGGATGGAACCTCGCTGGATTGGTGACCTCAGTTTGGGCCCCGTCACGATGTGAGAAAACATGTTTAAAAGCCAGGGGAACGCTGGAAAGAAAAACGCTATATTGCGTAGAAGGGAATAGCCTTTGGGAATACTTGGCACTCTTTCGCCGGTCCCGCAAAAATGGCATGTTCTCGTCAGATCTGGTGGGAATGAACTCAGGTCCCTCTGGACCCGCCCAAGTTCTTCGTGACCTTGAATGAATGACCACTATACTTTATTTACACTCTATTTGCAAATATTTGGAACCCATTCGGCCTGATCACCCTTCTTGAACTGTGAATCTGGCAACACCCGCCTCAATCTGCGCATGATGCCCTACACATAGCGAACGAACCTGGGCTGCAGTGGTGAGCTGGTGCTTGACCAGTAACCAAAGGGAAGGGTGGTGTCTGTGTTTCTGACAAAGAAAGGTCCGAGGATTCTGACGTCAAGCCGAAGAAGTCATCACCCACATGCAGAATACATGAATACCTGAACCAGAGGGCCCCAACAAACATTGGCTTTGTTGTGAAATTTTGGGATCAAGGGGCCTTCAAAAACGGCAGCCAATGGTAGAGCTGTCAAGAAATTTGCTTTACTTCGAGTGATCTCCACCGTGGCATGTCAATGAATTGTTTTCATGCCATGGTGAAGCGCACGTTGCCATGGTTGGGGGCTTTGTGGTTCTCGAATTTGTTTGTGGCTCCTCGGGATTGCGGTTGTTGCTTTAGTGTTGGGGAGTTGCGTCGGGGTGTCGCCAGGGTCTACAACTGGCGTCCTATCCAAAGTGCGACCCTGTGACCACCTGCCACGCAAAATGCCCCGTTGTGTTGCGCGTTGTGTGTTGTGCGTTATGGTTGCGGTTGCGTGTTGTGGTTGTGGTTGTGTGTGATGGTTGTGGTGGTTGTGGATGTAGTTGTGGCAGTGCTCAGAAGTTACAAACAAAAATTTTAGAGGATCAGATTTATTAGAGGCGTCGAGACGCCGGGTCGGGGGTCCTAAGTCGCGTGGAAAGTGGGCGCGCTTCATGAGTTTTTGTTTCCAACGGCGCTCACTCGTTGTTGACGGCAGGAGCACGCCCCGAGCACGCAGTGTGGACGCCCAGTGTAAGCACGCACGAACGCGCAGCATGGCACTAGCAGTTTTCAAGCGACTATTACGAGTCTGGCTACGGCACCGAGGCGCCAGGCCAGGCAGTTGTCATGGTCGTTGGGCGCGCTACATGAATTTGTTATCAACGGCGCTCGAACATTGTGTTTTTGCTTGCGCGTTTGTGGTTGTGTTTTGTTGGTTGTGTCTTGCGTGTTGCACGTTTGTGGTTGTGTTTTGTTAGTTGCATATTGCGTTAGTGTTTGTGGTTGTGTTTTGGCAGGCGGCGGAGAAGGAAAGAGGTGACTATCTTTAAAACTCAACAACCCTCACCTGACACGTGGGGAAAAGCATCATTGAGGGGAGCGCAAGAAACACTGCACCCCTCAAACGTGCCCAACAAGAAATTTGCAAGAACCGCGCGGCAGACTGCGCGGTACGGTACCTCCCAGAACTGGTTTTCCAACGCGATAGTTCCAAGAAATTGGACAACAAACAGTAATGTGGAGTGTGGAGAGGCCTTTTGGAAGATTGCCGTTGAAAGCGGTTGCAAAGCGTCAGTGTGTTGAGAGTATTCGCCACTTCCACATTTGTTTGAGGGACGTCGATTCAATACACAGCACAGTTGATTGCAAAAACCAACCAGAAGCTCAACTGACTTGTTGCGTCTTGCAAAGGCATCGCCCCAAGCCCTCTCAAAACCCGCCTCTCCTTCGCATTTTGCAAGCCGCAGGTCGAGACCGGTGAATGAGATGAGCCGGGAGCTACAGGCACGCAGCTGACAGAGCCAGCTGCAGACGTGACCGTGTCACTTGCCCCAACACAAGTTGCCGCAAAGGCATTCCAACAGCAACACCTGAGAAGCAGCAAACCGAAAGCCAGCGTTTTTGTCCACGAGCACGGTGTTGGCCAAAGGCAGCATGCCCCTGCACACCACCTACTTTCGAGCGCGCTTTCTCAGGCCACCCCCCCGAAACCCTCTTCTTACTCAGCAGGCGCCTTGCCAGGTATAGATGCCCAGGGTAGCTACAATTCAGTTACCAGGTATGGTACTTCAAGTTCCCTTTCCGTCAACCGCTCGATAACCTTTACACACGCGCAGCAATCCGCAGGTTTGAAATCTCATTCGTGCTTTGAACTTATATAGGTTGTAAGAGGTATAGCAACATAGCATTTATACGGACCCCGGGTAGCTACAATTCTGTTGCCAGGTATCGCACTTCAATTTTATTACCCTGGGTCCGCGCGCGCGCCTTGCTGGCTCCCCGCTGCCCTAGATTTAGGCACGCGCGCGCGCGGACCCAGGGCAGCTACAAGGCAGTTGCCAGGTATACCCAGGGTAGCTACAATTCAGTTGCCAAGTATAGCACTTCAAGCAACCGAAGACAATTGCGTTTCTCAAACCACAAAAAAGCGCCTCCAAAACCTTGCTTCCGCGCACCCCTACAATTCAGTTACCAGGTATTATATAGGTGTGTAAGTGGTAAAGCAACATTGCATTTATACGGGCCCAGTATAGCTACAATTTTTTTTTTGAGGCGCGTGTGTAAAGGTTATCGAGCGGTTGACGGAAAGGGAACTTGAAGTACTATACCTGGTAACTGAATTGTAGCTACCTTGGGCATCTATACCTGGCAAGGCGCCAGCTACACCTTACCATTCAGACGATGCAAATGATGCAAATTGCATTTCTTGCGTCACCAAATCACAAAAACTCAACCTCAAAAACCTTACTTCCGGGCACCCCTCTCTGCCACCTAATTTCGAATTTACGTGATACTTTCTCGGGCCACCCCCCCCGACCCCCTACTTACTCACTTCGTTCGCCAAACACAACTCAGCTGGCGCCTTCTGCGAAGGCTGGCTTTCGTAACAGAGATGGTGGGCAACCTTAAGCTTCGAAGCGGCGAAGGGTCTACAGCAACTAGGCCCAGGGCTCATAGATGGCCGTGAGGGTTTGTAAGGGTTCCTCGATTTGCGCATATCTTGCAACCTTTTAGCCTCACTGGGATACTTTGATATTTTCGTCCAACGGTGTCATGGATGTCTCCACCTGACTAGGGGCGCTTCAAAAAATATGCGCTTTGCTGCAATGAAAAGCCAACTGTGCACCTTTTGAGTAACCAGCAAACTGTTTGAACGTTCACGAAGAACAGGTTCCAACGCAAGTCTTCGGGCAAGCTCTGCCAGCCACGACTTCACTTCAATCGCGACGCTACGTTCTTCAATGCGCGTGCATACATGTATTGTACAAGTGTGCTCTGAGAGTCTTTCTCCCATCCCACTCCACTCAAGATGTTATTGCGTACTGAACTGATCCCCCCAAGCCCTGAAGAAGTCTAAGTGAAAAAATTGCCTGGGTAAAACGGGTTGTAAGTAAAGCGGATCACTCGGTAGGACCGTCACAAGGTTGCAAAAGTTGCCAAAAGCCTCGAAAACGACAGCAACTGGTGACTGCAGTGAAGGAACCGCTGCAAAGGCTGGAATGACTGTTCTAATTCCGAGAAGGAAATGAACTTTAGCATTCGAGCAGGCAGGCAGTTGGACGCCTTCAACTGCATCACAGGCAACTGATGATGTCTTTGCTAGCACCGGTCTCATTCAGCGCCCCCCACTGCCCACACACATGCCAGGTATGTCAAAAGTGCAGCACATCCCCAGCCCACACACCCACCTCTCACGCACCGCTCGATGCCCATAGCGCAACAATGTCGTAGCCCCACACATGCACACGTCAGGCCGATGTCCCCTCCGGCCCTGAAGGAAGCCCCACAAAAATAGCAAAACCGCGCTGCAAACGCACAAAACGCTTTGCCGTCTATGCTCCAGAGCAATGTTGACGTTGAGACAGCAGCAATAAGAACAAACACACAGCCATTCCACGAACTTTCGAAGAAACTACAGAGTTGGAAAAAAGACTGAAAAGGGAGCTTTTTTGCTGCAACGCCCTCAGGTGACTACTAAGGATCGCCTGTATATACGCGCAAGGCCGGCTCTTTGGACACTGCAGTGACCTACCCCGTCTTCACATCGATGGCCTGCTGAACTTCCTCGGCCGAACGCAGAACGCCCAAAACGCATTCACAAAGGGGATGGAAGTGCGTGGGTCGATTGCCCCTGTCCACCAGGGCGAACGTTTCACAAATTTTTCCTGGCGCTTTCCTGGTAGCACTTCTGCTCTCTTGACCCAGTGGATGATTTACAAGCCGAGCAGGCACAACTCCCCAACAACATCTCGTTCTTGTCCAAAATCTCTTCACTCATACTCAATACTCATATTCTATTCATATCTGCGATTCTTGCGAGTTCTGTTCACATTGTTCCAAAGACATTTGGCTTTGGGTCTTAAAACCCGGACGCCTTGGCAACATGACTTGCAAATAGAACCTAACGTCGGGTAACTTTAGTTGACCTACCTGGGAGGTCTTAAGCTACGTGGAGCTGGGGCACCAGGTTGAATGGCCCATCTCAATTTCTGTCCAAACAAAGATTGGAATTCTGAGCCCGTTCGCCCTCCACGTGGACCGTTGAAGGGTGATTGGCGACTAAACCACCATTTAGCTGCCCCGCCCATCTCACGCACATAAACCAGGGTCCTGGCCTTCAAGCTCCTGACCAACGAGCCGGCAGAAAGCGGGGTGGGTTGGCCACTAGTCGAAAGCCAAAAGGCTCTGGATTCTGCTGGGGGGTGTGGGGGTTCACACCGATCTTGGGTGGACAGATGTCCGAGACGTTTTCACGGAGCATCTGGGCGGCCGCACATGGAAGCACCGCTTGACAAACAGAGGCTGAGAAGTTGGAGTCTGTGCTTTTCTTCATTGAAATCGGCTAATGTTTGGATTCATTGTTTCTGCAGTTTTTGCTTCAACCTAGAGACGGTGACGGGGGCTAACCCCGATATCGGCCGGTGACAGGCCTTTGCGGCCTACCGCTGATCCCTTTGAAGAGGGTGACCTGCGCACGCTGCTCAAGTCCAAGCAGGTCCGAGTGAGAGGACGTGGTCCTTTGGAACAAAAGGAACAGAATAGACATGAATTATAGAAAATGACGATGGATAGAATATGACTATTGAGTATGGGTGAAGAAATTTTGGGAAAGAAAGAGATGTTGTTGGGGAGTTGCCCCTGCTCGGCTTGGAAATCATCCACCGGGTCAAGAGAGCAGAAGCACTCTACCAGTCCGTGACAGGTTCGCTCTGGTGGACTACTCTTTGGCGTCCCCACACTGCCCAAACTGGTTTCCGTTTGGCGTTCCTTGGATGGTACGGTCCTGCTTGTGTCTGTTGGCACCACAAGGACCTTTGGTGTGATCCCTCGACATCCTCAAGCCACCTAGGAGGTGCAGAGTGCTGCAACTCAAGCAGCTGGTTTCAGACTTGTCACCTCAATTCTGGCTTGAAGCTCCAAACACCTGGAGACGGACCAGGTGGCCTGAAATGCACCCCAACCCCCGGTCCTTCACTTCCTCCTTGAAGGTCACCCTCCTGCCACCTGGCGGCTGTAGCTCCGAATTCGGCGAAACATCACGCGATTCCCTGGCGAGGAACGAAGCGAACGCATATTATGTGGAACATCCCTCCCTCCTCGGATGGACTAAGGCATGTTGAATTGCTGTTCACATGGAACCCTTCTCCACTTTGACCTCAAAGTTCGCATTTGAAATGCTTGCCACTACCACCAAGATCTGCGCTGATTCTCTCAGGCTCACGCCAAAAGGTGCATTGCTCTCCTACACACTGCAACGTATTCACGTTAGTAGTTGGGCTTTGGTCGCCCGCTTGAGCTCCATCCCTTTTCAGGGCCAGTCCATTTGGCAGGTTTGTTGGTACACACTCCTTAGCTTCCCGTCAAATGAACCAACAAATTTGTGGTATCTGATGAGCGTGCAGTTAAGCACCTTGGCCAAATGTTCGCTTTGTCCCCCATCGCCAGTTCTGCTTGCCAAAAACGACCCACTAAGAGTTGTCTTTTATCCCAGAAGTTCAAAGCAACCACTGTGGATCTTACCCGTTCAAAGATTGAGAATAGGTTGAAGACAGCATGCCCCCGCCCCCTGTGATCAGTTGCTTTGTCTGATAAAAACATCGTAAAACTGTTCAACTCCAGCTATCCTGACGGAAACGTTGGAAGGAGCCAGCTATCCTGATGGTTCGATTAGTCTTTCGCCCGATATCCACGTATGAAGAGGATTTGACAAAGAAACGCTGCCAGGCAGAGGAGCCCAGCCGTGAGGCCTTGAGGCGCTGAAGTCTGGGTTAGAAAAGAGTCCAGCCCTTTTCAATTAAAGTAACGTGAACCATAGAGGGGTCGATGGCAGGCACCTTTTTACCTATTGGTGGTTCTCGAATCTAACCCAATAGGTGTATGAATCATCCAGGGCCAGGCCGAAACACCACCACCCAAACGACCTCGCTTCGACGTCACCTTGCAGGTGACGCAAGTCACGGCGGGGATTGAATCCGAAAAAGAGAATGGCTCAATAGAGGCCAGGGAAGTTGGGATGGAGGGGGGTTCACAAAATTGTTGTTCCTTTTCCCGTACCTGGGGAACCGTTTATCTATCTACATTCTTGTGGGTATAGGTTTTACTACCTGGTTATTCAAAGATCTGAGAACAATACCAGGTAAAACCAAAAATAACTGGTAAACCGATTTGGCCAGGATTTGAGTGGCAGAAAACCAAGGTACCGCTCAGATTGCTCAAAGAAGCAAGCACGGTAGCGGTGAACAACATCAAAAGACCATGTCATGCATGAGAATGGGTATCAGCCGTGATAATGCATATGTGCTGTATCACCACCGGGAGTTCACAGAGAACTGTCTTGCGCAACCATGCTAGCTGTCCCGCGGGTATCGGG